AAAAAAAAAAAAAAAAAAACCTAAAATATTCATTTGTATGATTTGATTCTGTACCCTTACTTACCTGTTTAGCAGAGAAAGGAGGTACCTCCTCCAAGTATGGATTTTGAGAAAATGAGTCTGCCCTTTTGTGTGCATGGAGTGGGTAGCAAACCCAGAGAATCTGCCCTGGAGTGGTAGGTGTGTTTTTCTGTGTGTTGGGGTCCCGGGTGGGGGGGGTGTGTGCCTTTGTGTGGGGATGAGGGAGGGAAGGGACTGTGGTGGGGAGGCTTTATAAGGTCTGCCCCTCTAAAGATAGTAAATCAATTTAAATTCTAAAATGAAACAAAATTTCCTTGGTGTGAGCCTGTATGCTTTAGTGAGTACAAAAATTCTGTTGGTCTTTTTGAGTTCACCTTTCAGAAATGCTTTTAAGGACTTAGTATAGATTCTTGACAATGTTTTGAGTGCTAATAAACATTTGACAACTGATAAAAATCTGATTCTCCAAATACATAGATAACCAAAATGCATCTAATAGTATTAAAACCCCTCAAATTGCAACAAAAAAAGGGTGAAAAGTTAGCACTGTACCAGGTAACATGCTGCTTACTGACTTGAACTAAATCAAGTTTGAGTATTGTGGGTTGATGGTATGGGTCAAGTGGTAGAGTGCCCTGAGTTCAAACCCCAGTGCCACAAAAAAAAAAAAAAAAGTTTGAGCATCTTAAAAACCCATCTTCCCTTCAAAAAAGGCTTAGCAGAATTTTCACTGTACTAGTGTATAGCACTTCGCTTTAAGTAATATATGAACCTGAGGAGCAACCAGGAAACTTTTTATGAATCTAATCACATTTTTTAAATGTGAAATGTTTTTGAAGGAACTCTTAAGAGTACATTTTCTTAAAGTCATAAACCCTTTGCGTCCTAATTTATCAGCATCCTGGTATAAATAGGCAAATCTACATACCTATATACAGATGCTCCTCAGCTTATGATAGGGTCATATCCTGATAAACCTATAATTGCAAATATAAATCTGAATGCATTTAATACACGTCACCTACTAAATATCACACTACAGTGTACTGTAGATATTGTGTACCCTCATGATCTCATCATTGTATATTTAATATGTAGGCACCCAGACTGCATCATGTTCCTACCTGAAATGTCAAGATTATTCAGTTTTATCATGGTAGACCTAAGTAAGCTCAACGCATCAAATGTGAGTTGCCTGATGTCATAAGTAGGTGGCTACAGGAAAAGGGGAAAGACTGAATTCAGAGTGTATTCTAAATGCTTACATTTAATCAAAAATTCAAAAACATACATCTCAGGTCAATTCCTTGAGTGAATTTTATTGTAAGCATAACCTAGGAATGGTCTGTTCTATTTTATACCTCAAGAAAGACTAGGGCAGGGTTAGAAAAAAGAATTCATCTGATCAAAACTCAGAGAAAGAATATTGATTAGATTTTATGAATGAAGGGCTTTAATTTTTCTACTTGAAAACTTTCATAGATTTAAGTATTTCAGTGTAACACAGTATTTCTATGATGTCAAATTTTTCTTCTGTGACTTAAAAATTTATTCCACTCTTGCTATGTTGAAATTTATGAATATTGAACTTCAATAAAAGCATTGGTTATTGTGCTTTGGCCTCAGTGTGTGTGGGGGTGGGGGTAATTGTGGTAGAAAAGAAGATGTGGTGATAGTTGCACAAGAAATAATTTTAAAGAATACTGTTGAGGATTGTGATACAACTTTTACTTTAAAAATAACTCATTATAGTCAAGAAGTACAACCAGAGCATAGTCAAAGTACCAAACCACTGTTTATAAAACAAAAATAGTCACTTCTGTAAGAAACCAATTCTGGGTTTTCTAAATTAAATTACGTGTACATTTTTCTACTTTATCTACAATCATTTCGCTGTTCATTAAAATTACCAATTCAAGTGGCAAAGCAAAATACATCAAGTGCTTCTTTCACTTTTAAAAAGGTTTGGCCAAGACTTCATTATTGGATGTGGTGGGAGAAAACTATTGCAATGCATGTGGTCATATGCCTAGATGAATCATTTTGATAAGCAGCAGAAGAGCATAATAAAACATAAGTAATGAAGCTAACAAACTTGGACTTGAATGCCAGCCCTGCCACTACAGGTAAATTAGGGAGGAAAATATCTGTATCTATTAACTTAAGAGCTATTTCATTTTCTTCACTGGGCAGATGGGAGGATAAAATGGGATAATATATGCACACCACCTAGCGAGCAGAAGCTAAGAATATACATGGTCTAAGCAGTTTATATTTGAAAACTTTAAATGGTAGGACCAAAAGTCAGTCAACATACATTGCAACAAACTTTTCTGCCTAATGACACTAAGTATCACCTCTTATATACTACAGAGAAAAAGAGATGTGGAAGAAAGAATACAATTTTGAAATCATTTATTTATTTTTCTGGAAGGTGGTTATTAACAAGTCTATATAAGCTTAAGATTCCAACTAAAAGAAGTGTTTCATTTGAAAGGCTTTGGGGCTCAATTGTATGTCATGTAGCGGGGAGTAGCACTAAATTTGGCATAAGACTTAATGACCTTATTTACAGCTTCCAAGAAATCTTTCTCAGTAGCAATTTTTCGCCGTGCTCGAATTGCAAACATACCAGCTTCTGTACAGACACTTCTAATCTCAGCTCCTACAAACAAACAAAAAAAAAA